TGTGTGTGTGTGTGTGTGTGTGTGTGTGTTCCCTGCTTCAAAAAAATGATGGAGCTAGGATCCTCTTTCTGTTCTTTGAAAGAAGCACATCCACTATATATATATATATATATATATATATATATATATATATATAGTCACATATATATAACACTCCTCTCGAAATTTAAATATATAGATGTGACTGCAGATATAAATATAACCTGTGGCTATAAACACACTTGTGGAGGAAGAAAAAGCTGTATAATGAATACAGAGACTTAGAATTCTCAGTGTCTCCAGAATAAAGTGGGTCAGGCAAGCCATATGCTGAGTAGACGGCCTGCCTCACCCCATCTGCAATCGGGGCAGTTACACTGCTCACCAAGGTATATCCACTGGGATGCAGAAACTGACCACTGCAGCTGGATGACACTGGTTGATGAAGGGTTTTTACATATCTATGTCTTTTACATATTTTTACATATCTATAGCTATATCTTTTACAGCCAGATGAAGAAATAGACATTTTCCAATATTCCACAGAAGTCCTTCCTCCTTTTCCTTCCTCATTAGCCCCATCACCTGCCACCAATGTGGCCACTATGCTGACCTCTGCAGGTTTGTTTTCCCATTTGACCAACTGTTCTAATGGCTCCTCTCCAAAGGCCCATGACATCCATGGCCCACATCTGTAGCATAGCTGTATAGTCCTAACTGTAGCTCCTGGTGTCATCAATAGCCAGCCTCATCCCTAAGACCCCTTCCTACCCTGAAAGCAAGAGTCAGAGCTTTGGACAGAGACTCTGGGAGGTAATATCTTACATCAATCCTAATCTGGGGCTTAGAGACCTTGCCCAGTGTCTAGAGAACTTTGTACTTGAAGTGATCAGGAATCACAGATCCTGCTAAGCTATATTCTGCTGGGTATTAAATAGGTTAGAGTTGTAAAAAGCCTGTTATATGTAAATGGCCTTAGACATGGTGACAAAGGGTACCCAGCAAGGAGTGGGCGTTGTTTCTTATAAACTCTTTGTTATGAGTCATTTGCAATGCTAGTAACTGTTGTATGGTATTCAAAATGGCAGCTTTCTTGAGTACTTACTGGATTCTAGACGCTATTATCAAAGCATTTTACATGCACTGTTGCATTTTCAACACTCAATAACCCCAGAAGGTAGGGAATACTAACATCTCCATTCTGCACATGATAAAACTGAAGAACAGAGAAGTTGGGCTATACTGCAGAATCAGAAACAAATGCAAAACAGGAAGCAAGCATTAAGGTTGCTCCAGACGTGTTATGTGTGAGGCTGCAAATTCAATAGTAAGAGGCACAGGAGATAAGGGAAGCCATAATAAGGCACATCAGTCATGGGTTATTCCACTGGGCCTCTCCTAGCCCTGTGGTAGAGGGAGCAGGGCCCTTGCCTATACTCAGTACTGAACCTTTAGCACCAGAGGCCAGGTCCTGTGTGCTTACTTGATTACAAAGTGATGGTTTGTCCCTGCAGAGGTCTCAGGGAAAACCTTTCCATGCTGTGAAGAGTTCAAGCCACAGCATAAAATAGAATTTAATTGCACCACTGATAATAAACTGGATGTATGAAGGCAACTGATACCTTTGATCTTTTAGGCATTGCTAAATTGAAAGGCTGTTCATTTCTTCTGACTTTCCCTATAGATTAGTTTAATGCCCCCCAGGGGATGAGTAGAAACACCTTATTCAACAAGGATGCTGGTTCTGGAGGAATCTGATTTAGAGTTAAGGAGATTTGATTCGACTGAGAATTCAGTGTGGGACAGAAAGAAATTTCTAGCTTCTCTTCAAAAAAGGGAAGATAAGGCCTTGTTACATGAGCCTTAACAATTAACTTGCTTAAGCCTAGGATAAACAAAACAGCTCCAAGAGATGATCCTAAGGAAAATGCTACTCCAGTGTCACTCAGCTCTGACAGGTCAACACACTCCATACTCTGGCTTGAAAAAGACAAAGAACTGAACACTACTTAACCTACTGGAGAAATAAGATACAGAGCTAAGGTGTGTAGACTGCAGCACTCATCTGGAAAGCACTCATGGGGGAAGGTGGACCTGAGGAAAACAGAGAAAGGGAGAAAGGGAAGAGACGTTGGAGAGGAGGAGAGAACAGTAAGAAAATACCACATGTTACATAGGAGACATCAGGGAAATGAGTCAGAGAAATGGCACAAAACAAGAGTTGGAGAATGAACTAGATATACTAAAAGCACAAAACCCATGGCAGCTCAGAGGCCTAGAATTCTGCAGGATGTGTCCCAAAATTCAAGAAGATGCAGCTATGGTTTGCAAAGCACAGTTATATTGGGTGATCAGGTCTTCATTGTCATATTTAGAACTCATTACCATCCTAAAAGGTTGGGATGAAGTCTTCATTTTACAGAGACCCAGAGAGAACCGAACTTTGTAGCATAGTTTTCAATACATGGGCCCTGGAATTGAACTGCTGATTTCAGAGCTTCTTTCTACACATAGTATCTGCTTACTTATGGGTAAATCATAGGACCTCTCAGAACCTGTCTTCTCATTTGGACAGTAAATGTTTGCAAGGTTCACTTCAATGAATGCCCAATGTCTGCATGACAATAAACAACAGGTACACATTGGTGCTTGTTATTGCAATTGTGCTTGTTCATAATTGACTGACCCATAATCACACCTGAGCAGGAAAGAGAAAAACCTCTAACTCAGGTTCTTTTCATTGTACAGGTAACCATTAGACTGTGTGGCTCCAATCATGGGATCCTCATAGGAAGTAGGGGTAGTGACCACCTAAAGAATGGTTTATATGGGCTGGGAAGTTGGCTCAGTGGTAGAGTGCTTGCTTCGCATGCAAGAGGCCCTGGGTTCGATTCCTCAGCACCACATAAGCAGAGAAAAGCCAGAAATGGCACTGTGGCTCAAGTGGTAGAGTGCTATACTTGAGCTGAAGAGCTGAGGGACAGTGCCCAGGCCCAGAGTTCAAGTCCCACGACTGACAAAAAAATTTTTTTAAATGGTTTATGTGCTTTAAAGGAGGAGTGGTCTCAAGAGTTGGAATGGAGCAGAGACAATCTAGAACTAAGGATGCATAAGGATAGATAACCTCCCTTGAATGGATATTATTTATCCAGGAGATACTGTCAGAAGATTATTCCAGATACAAAGAAAAGATGAAGGGGGGAGAGATGGAGGAAGAAGAGGATGAGATAGACAAAGAGGAAGAGGAGAAGGAGGAGGAGGAGGAAGAAAAGGAGGAGGAGGAAGAAGAGGAAGAAAATGCAAGAACAAGGGCAAGGGGGGATATTAGGAACAGCAAGAAGCTGACCTCTGGAATACAGGTTAACCTGAGAAAGGCAGTTTAGGGCCATTTTGAGATAAGCCTGAAATTTGTAGGTGAGAGCTTTGGGGTTGAATATGTGAACACTTAGGCTCCAGTGAAAATTTCAGAGCTTGACTTAAAAATGAGGAGTTATAATCATGGGGACCTTGGCATGCTATGTCTCTCCTCTCTTCTCTTTCTCTCTCCTCTCTTCTCCTCTCCTCTGTCTTCTAGTTTCCTCTATCTCCTCTCTTCTCTCCTCTGTCTCTCATTCTCCCATCTCTCTTCAAAGTCTCTGCCCATTGCTTCTATGACTCTCCAAATCAGCCTTGCCACTAGAATTGCCCAGAAAATAGAATCTAGCTGTTCTTATCCAATTCCCTTTCAAAAGCAAGCTTCAGTAAGGCACCAGTGGCTCACTCATACCTGTAACCCTAGCTACTCAGGTGCCTGAGCTCTGAGGATCACAGTTCTGTCAGCCTGAACAGAAAAAAAATCCATAAGACTCTTATCTCCAATTAAACACCAAAAAGCCAGAAGGGGAGCTTTGGTTCATGTGGTAGAGTACCATCCTTGAGCAAAAGAGTTAAGGGATAATACCCAGGCCCTGAGTTCAAGTTCCAGTATCAGCTCACCATCACACACACACACACACACACACACACACACACACACACAGAAAGTCTCAACTAATCTGGAATCAATATTGGGTCTACTTGTCTGCGCTCAAATCACCATCAACAAAAATATGTAGCCTAGTGGCCACATCTTCTCGTGTCTTGATGGACTCCATCTTGGGTGGCACTGAAGATGGAGTTTGTTCACAATTAACTACGCTCAGCATCCACCATGCTTGAGTCACAGTGTGAGCTTCGTATGGGAAATGGCAGGGAGAAGCATTCATTAAACTTTCATGAGCATACAGCTCTTTCTCTGTGCTATCAAAATATTTTGATGAGAAAAATATATTTTATTAAAAGCAGACATGAAATTTTTCTCTGCTTTTCCATGTGTTGGTTTTCTTCAGCTGCTTTCAGTCAGGAAAAAGCTTTTTTAACACTTTGTTAATGAACAACTGGTTTATGGAGGGGAGGGGTTGAGAGAGAGAGGAGGGAGAGGAAAGAGGAGAGAAGGGAGGGAGAGGGAGAAAGAGAGAAGAGAGAGAGAGAGAGGAGCCAAAGTCTCAATATCCCCTTTAATAGCACACTCCCAATGTCCCAATGACCTAAATTCTGCCCACTAGGCCCCACTTTCCCCCACCCCCCTAGGCTCTGACTAACACAAAAGCATTTAAGATCCAAACCATAGTACTCTCCATGTCTCCAGCCAAGCCTGTTCTTTCTCCGGCTTCTCTGTGTGTTTAGTGACCCTGTCCTAGACACCAGGATTCAGTCCTGGCCTGCCCTTCAAAGGGAGGCCAAGAACAGGAAAAACAGGAGAAAGTTAAGCATCTCTACTTTCCCCTGACTCTCTTCTCTGTACCCAAGAAACTGAAGCCACATCAGCCCCACAAAGAAACTGAGT